ACGCCTTTAATCCCAGCACTCGGGAGGCAGAGGCAGGCGGATCTCCGTGAGTTCAAGACGAGCCTGGTCTACAGAGCTAGTTCCAGGACAGGCTCCAAAGCCACAGAGAAACCCTGTCTCGAAAAAACAAAAAAAAAAAAAAACAAAACAAAAAAAAAAGAATATAAACTGAGACCTTATTTCAAAACAGCCACCATGAAAATTGTTTTTCTCAAAGAGTAGTGGAATTACTAAAAGCAAGGACTTCATCCATGGTGTACACCTTTAGTCCCAGCACTTTGGGAAGCAGAGGCAGGTGGATCTTCAGAGGTTCCAAAACCAGCGTGGTCTGTATAGAAACAGGTGGGCTTCAAGAATAGCATGGTTTATTTACAAACAGGACAGCCAAGGCTGCTGCACAGTGAGACCTTGCCTAAAAAAGAACATTGACCAAACCTGGGATCAAATCTCAGATCTGACTTTTCCACAGCTGTGTGAATTCTTAGGGGAGACATCTCCCTCAAACCACTTTACATACTGTTTTCCTAGCTTTATAATAATTATAAACCTAGTTAGCCATTCAGTGGTGGTGCACACCTTTAATCCCAGCACTCAAGAGGCAAAGGTAGGCAGATATCTGAGTTTGAAGCCAGTCTGGTCTATAGAGAGAGCTCCAGGACGGCCAGGATTACACAGAGAAACCCTGTCTGGGAAAAAAAAAAAAGCTATTATAATCATAATCCCAACCTCACAGAAAATATTAAATAGAACTCCAGGGTTAATGACACTTTATTTATACAACACTTTCATTTGACAGATATTTGGCAAATAACCAATATTTATCAGATATTCAGGTGCACCATGGTTTGGGCCCTAGGGAAAAGCACAGGTCTGATATCAAAATGTGCAGGTGTGGTGGCACCTGAAGCCAGACCATCTGAACAACAGACTGTACTTTGTCTATAGACCTACAGCTGCAGAACACTATCATTGCTATGCTCGGGCCTAGGCAGCTGTGCCTAGGCCCCAGCATCTTGGCTATCATCCCACCCCTTTGCTCTAGCTCTGAGATAAAACCCATAAAGCCTTTAAGCCCCTGACCAGAGAGCAAATTCTTCCCCCACTCATCCTCCCAACCCAGCCCATAGAAGAGTAAGGATTTAGGGAGTAAAACATCAGGGTAAAAATAGGTCACTGTAGGAGGATGGTAATCCCCAACAATGGCTGACCAGAGCAGCCAGCCCTGCTAGGAGAGGCGTGCTGCTCCTGGCCATTTAATAGGTCTAGAAAACTTTCAGGATCTGAAGCCCCAACCTATCCCCCCAACCCTAACTGTATTCCCGGACTAATCCAGATGTCCCAAAATGACATAGCCTCTACACTGGACTAATTCTCAGTCCCAGATCTTGTTGACTATAACGATGCCTATGTTAAAGTTATTTATAGATCCTTTCATTCCAAGTACTCTCTACTGCACTTTCTTTTTTATATAATTGATTTTTTTTTTTTTTTTTTTTTGGTTTTTCGAGACGGTTTCCTTGTGAAACAGTCCTAGCAGTCTTGTAACTAGCTCTTGTAGATCAGGCTGACCTTGAACTCACTGGGATTCACAGGCCTCTGCCTCCCCAGTGCTGGGATTAAAGGTGCATGCCACTACCACCCAGCCAATCTATTTTTATTTTATGTACATTGGAGGTTTGCCTGCATGTATCTCTGTGTGAGGGCATCGGATCCCTGGAGCTGGAGTTACAGACAGTTGTAAGCTGCCATGTAGGTACTGGGAATTGAACCCGAGTCCTGTGGAAGAGCAGTCAGTGCTCTTAACTGTTAACTGAGCCATCTCTCCAGATCCCCATAGTGCACTTTTTATCCTTAGATTGGGTGCTAGAGACACAGAAGGTACCCCTTACCCTTGAGGAGTCCACAGCTGGGAATTTTCACTGGGACTTGGGAATTATAAACCAGTGTTACACTGAGACAGGGAAAAGCACAACTTCTGTGTCTATCTAGAGGTGGTTTTTATTCAACTTATATACAGAGTTACAGAGTATTTTCTAGAAGAGGTAATACTAAGCAAGATATAGCTGTTTCTTGTTGACCAAGAAGAAATAAGAAAGAATATTTTATTAAAAATATAGATGTACAGGGCCAGCACAATAAGTTGCCAAGCATGGTGACCTGAGTTCAATCCCCAAAATCGGTATAGTGGAAGGAGAGAACTGACTCCTCCTAGTTGTTCTTCTGACCACCACATGTGTACTGTGGCACACCCGCAGCACTCATGCCCCCCATGCGCGCGCTCTCTCTCTCTCTCTCTCTCTCACACACACACACACACACAGTGTATTTTGTAAAACACATATACAGCCCTGGCAAGGTGCTACACAAATTTAGTTACAACACTCAGGTAGCAGAAGTGGGCAAGATCTTTAAGTATTTGAGGTCATCTTGGTCAATGTAGTGAATTTCAGGACAACCAGGACTGCATAGTGAGACTTTCCCCAAAAAAAGATACACCCAAAAGAATAAAAAAAATTCCATTTTTCTTTCAAGAAATTTCTGGTGGCCAAAGGTAGCAGATTCAGGATTCTAGGTTTTGATTCAGCATTCAGGATTCTAGGTTTTGTGGGTTTTTTTTTTTTTTTTTTTTTGGTTTTTCGAGACAGGGTTTCTCTGTGGTTTTGGAGCCTGTCCTGGAACTAGCTCTTGTAGACCAGGCTGGTCTCGAACTCACAGAGATCCGCCTGCCTCTGCCTCCCGAGTGCTGGGATTAAAGGCGTGCGCCACCACCGCCCGGCTTGTGGGGTTTTTTTTTTAAAGTGTTTTTGTTTGTTTTGTTTTTGCTGAGTTTTGTTGTTGAGATGTGGTTTCTCTGTGTAACTGGCTGGCCTTGACCTTAGAGATCCACCTCCCCCTGAGTTCTGAGATTAAAGGCGTGTGCCACCGCCACCACTGCCTGGCTCAGGATTCTCCTTCAGAAATGTGATGCGAGCAATAACTGGTGTCTAGAAGTGGAGATAAAAGTCTATGCCAATGAGCGAGGCTGGAGAGATGGCTCAGAGTTTCAAAGTTGTATTCCCAGCACTCACGTGGGGTAGCTCACAAACTTCTGTAACTCCAATTCCAGGAGATGTGGCACCCTCCTCTGAACTCTGGGGGCACCAGGCATGTACATGGTGCACCTGACTGTTCCTCTCTTTCACCGTGTGTGTGCGTGTGCATGTGTATGTGCATATGTGCATGTATGTGTCAACAGCCTCCCAACATGGGTATCATAAGCCTGGCCTTCCAAGCTTAGTCCCTGTGATGCTAACAGCCTCTTTTGCAAATCCCTCTCCATATCTGCTCACCTTTCTTGTACCACTTCTTTTTTTTATGACAGTTTTTGATAGTTATTACTTTATTTTTTGTATTTTAAGACAGGGTTTCTCTGTGTAGCCCTGGTTGTCCTGAAACTTGCTCGTAGACCAGGAAAGCCTTGAACTCACAGAGATCCGCCTGCTTCTGTTTCCCAAGTGCTAGGATTAAAGGTGTGTGCCACCCCGACACCTTGTTATTTCTGATCGTATGAGTACATGTGCACACGTGGAGGTCAGAGGATAACTTGCCAGAGTCAGACCTCTCCTACCTTTTGGTTTTACACTGAGTGGTGAGCCTTCTCATTGCTTGCACTGTGTGTGTTCACCAGAGTCAACCCTGGGTGTCATTCCTCAGGTCCCATCTACCTTGTTTTTTGAGATAGAATCTCTTAGTGGCCTGGCTCACAGACTAGGCTAGGCTACATTAAGCCCCAGAGATCCACTTCTTTCTGCCTTCCCAAGTGCATGGCACTACACTGACTTTTTACATAGATCCTAGGGGTCAAACTGAGGTCCTCATGCTTGAGTGGCAAGCGCTTTGCCTAGCAAGCTCCCCATCCCTTCCAAACCAGTTGTAAGGCTGCTGTCTTCGTGAGCTACCATGCCCTGTGTGCTACCTCCTGCCTTCAAGGACTGGGTAGGTAGAACTGGTCCTGCAGGAACACAGAGCTGGCTTATGCAGGACCTTATAGGCAAGAGGGGAGGAGTGTAACACAAGCATCAGTTTCTCAACCTAGAAAGTAGAGGGACTGAATAATAGTAGCCCATGAGGAAGCCATGGAGAAGTCCACAAAAGTCATAGTGTTTATTCAAGGAATGGTACCATATGCCTATAATCCTAGCACCTCAGAAGAGGCAGGAGGATCACTCCAAGTTTGAGGCCAGCCTGGTCTACATAGTGAGTTCCAGGCTAGTCAAGAGCTACTAAAGAAGGTGCTATTTAAAATAATAATAATAAACAAATTAACATAGCATTAGCATAGAGTTAACTTTCTCTGTTCTTCTGCCCCCACTGGAATGAATAGGGGCTCTGCCCACACCATCTACTCTCATTTTATGGCTTCCAAAACACCTTCTTGAATCATTTTGTTTTCTCACTGCAAACCCCAAAGAGCAAGCTTCTGGAGAGCAGAAGCCAGATCACCTCCTCATTATGGCTTCAACTTGTGTAAGTTCAGATCCTGTCAGGGGTTTGAATGTGGACTTCTCTTTGGACAGTCTAGTCCAGACCTCGAAAGAGAAGACTGAGCACCAAGTCTGCACGTCTTGAAGGCTGAGGTGATAGTTTAGCAGAGGGAGGTGCAGGTAAGGCACCAGGAGACGGCAGGAGCCTGAGAGAGACTTTACCTGGCCACTAGGGGTGAGTTCTGGACCCCATTGGTTCCCCACATTCCTGTTGGGTTGGGAAGGCAGAGAAAGGCTGTGCATTCCAGCAGATCTTGGGTCTCTACAAGAGCTCTTGGGATCCGAGGTACTCCTGGGATCTAAGGTGTAATGGAAAGAAACCTCAACACTGCCATCATGAAACAAATGTTTGTAAGGGTGGATGAGTCCCTTGTGGAGGTCCTGAGCCCGCCCATTCCATGCTGGGATCAGCTTCTGGGGGCCCTTGCCTTTGCCAAGAGGGTCACAGCCAGGAGAAAGAAAACAGCTTGGTGCAAATATAAATACCTTTAATGAAAATTATACACACTCTACAGAGCCCACACGGCGGCCACTGCATGCAGTGATGGGAGGCATGGGCACTGTTGGCTAGCCAACCAGACTGTTTAGGCCAGAGGCCCCAGGAGGCAGGCAAGTGCCAGAGCAGCAGCAAGCAATGCAGGGGCTGGGGCTGGAGCGAGCACAGGAGCTGTGGCTCGTAGTGTCTCCTGGTTGGTCTCTGGGCCAGCAACCATCTCCCGAACACTCACAGGAGCGCCACAGAGGATGTGCAAGTTATCTGGGTGGGGGGCACGGCGAGCTTCTCGCTGCAGTGACTCCCACACTGCAGCGGCTTCCTCTGGGCAGCCGGACAGGACCCGAGACGCACAAGCATGGAAGTCATTCCAGGATCTGTTACAGAATGGGGTTAGGGGAGTTGGGCAGAGATTTTAGAGTGGGAAGAGATTCAAGGCCCTGAGGTTGTTGCCCCAGTGGCACAGATTATCAGGTGGTATCTCCCACTAGCCCATTGCCTCCCACCTGCTGGTACCTGCAGACAGTCTGTAGCTCGCCTCCGCGGCCCATGCCATCCCCCAGGCGGATAAGACACTCAGCAAAGCCTTGGTATATGGTATCACAGTGGTTTGGGCCTTCAGAGGCCACAGCTAGAGAGGGTACAAAGACTAGGAATGGGGTGGGAATAGAGAATAGTTGATAGAACGAGCCAGGGTCCATTCATCAGAATCTTGTTTACCTGGCAGTGCTCTGGGGACATGACTCAGCGTGAAAGAGGTGCCCCAGGGAACTTCAGGCTACCTGGAGATCACTTGTCTTAAAGTTAGGATCTGGACTGTGATGCACATGGAAGATGTGATGTGGGAACAGGAAGGGTTATTGGGTCCAGAGCTCAGCTCCTTCTCTAGTTTCTGGGGCTCTAGGTCAATTCAGGGATTCAGGGGTATAGGAAGCATGAAGTCATGGGCAGAAGGCAATCTTTCTGTAGTTTTAATGAGCTTCAGCTGGAACACCCATTGCCTCCTCCTCAAAGACAAGAGTCTCTGCTGAAGCTAAGCGGCAGGGTGGGGAACCAAAGCCAGTCACCCTAAGCTCAGGGGTCCATGGCCTCAGTTCTGCTAGGGGTCACAAACTCCCTTTGTCAGAAGAGGGGCTACAGGATTTAGAAGGTCTTCTCCCACAACTGAGCTGTTTGCACACTCTCCATGCTGAAGCCACTACCACACTTTCCTAGAGCTTACTGTTGAACTCTACCCTGAGCCCTGTGCTCCTTCACCCTACACCCAGTCTAAGAACTCTGAGAAGGGCTGCAGCCTGGGCCCAGGACACTCACACTCACCGAGTGGCGGCAGCAGCAGCAACAGCGTCAGGGTCAGGGCACAGGGTAGCGGCTGCCAGCGGCAGCGGCAGGGGCAGTGGCAGCAGCAGCACATCATCCCTGGCTGTGAGCCTAGTGCAGGAGCTAGAGGCTTGGAGAGCTGCCTGTGGGCCCAGCCCCCAGAGGAAGGGATCCTGATTGGATAGGAGCTGGAGGCGGGGCCTCATCCCAGCTGTCAGCCCCACCTCCAGGACCCAGATTGGCAGAGAAGAAAGGAAGGACCCCAGAGGGCAAAATTGCCTAGAGAGGAGATGTGTTGATGCTAAGCCGGCTCTAGGAGCTTTGTCTGAATTGGACAGGGGAGATAGAAGTAGACGGTTTATCAGATGACAATGGGTGCCAGGGGACCCCCAGGTGGGCTGGTTTAGACATGCTCCCCCAAAGGGAGGAGACAACATCAAAAGCAAATCAAAACCATACACATACTTTGTTTTATTCCAAAAGGCTTTAATTGAATTTCTCAATGTTTTTCAAAAACAAAAAGATCCAAATTATAGGTAAAAAGGAACATGGAAAATTCAACTCAAGTGGTATCACGATCTTGGGGTCATGCTTCAGGCATGGCAGGACCCAAGAAAGCACAATACCTGCCCTGGGCCCAGCCTAACCCTGCTGGTTACCACAATGCATAGACCAGTGTGTCCTGCCCCCTACCTCCCTCCAAACACTAGAGATGGAGGTCTGGGCAGGTAAACAGCAGACATGGTCCTGCCTTGGCCTAGACCTGCCGACCGGCCTTCAGTGTTACCCCGTCTCTGTTTAAACAGCTAAGGGAGGCTAGGGGTCGCAAGGCCGTGTAACATTAGGCTGAGGCGACGGGCAGCTTTGCCAAGTGAGTTGTGTGGATCAGCCTGCAGGAACTGGAAGAGCTTCTGGCGCACCTGTGCCATGACAGAGCCCATGTGGTCTCGAGTGATGGGATCACTGTGGTCCAGGTGCATCACAGCCTCTTCCAAATAGCTGGGGATAGGGGGAAAGAACAGGCTACAGCTGGATGCCAGCAGACAGGAGTGCCCCCTAGTGGCACTGAAGCCCAGAGGGATACGGGCAAAGACAGCTTCTAAGCCTCATTTTGGAGGGGGTGGAGAACATGGGTAATAAATTAGGGATGGGAGTCAGGTAAGAGTAGGTGTCTGCTTTCAACTATTCTCTCTCTATCCTGTCTCTAGCTCATCTTCTGATCCCCCAACTGCCCCGCTCACCTGAGCTTGAGGTCACTTCTAGTTCCAAGGTCAGATGCCAGCTGCTGGATTAGGGAAAGGAGTACAGGCTGGGACAGTGGACAGGGCGGCTGCCCAAAAACCTGGGCTGGGTCCACAGTTTCACACACATACAGCACCAGGTTGAGATCAGCGGCTGTCAGTGCCTGGGAGTAGAACAAGGCAGCATGCTCATTTATACCTAACATCAGGACAGGATGGAATGCTTGCTTCTCTGAGGTGTATGGCCTAAGGGCAGAAGACCAACATTGGATTCTAAAGGTTCCAGAAGTGAGGTTCAGAAACTGATAAGGCTGTAGAGTTACTTTAGAAAATCAGATTATGAAGTTTTCCTGAGCAAGGTGGTCATGAGGAAAGGAGCTGAAGTGGGAAGAAAGTAGTCTAGCATGAGGAAACAACAGGAGCAAAGGCTTAGGAAGCCAAAAGATTCAGTCTGCCAGACAGCCCAGAGCCTGCTGGGGAAGTGGGCATAGGTTACGTAGATCTTCTCAGGAGACATCTTTGTGAAGGGATTGTAACAGGATTGTCATACCTGCTGGAAGGCTTGATTGAGGTGGCCCTGCTGCAGTAACTGCAAGATATGGGCTTGTTGGGCCTGGCAGTCAAGGTGGGCAGAAGGGACAGGCGTGCCAGCAGCTGAACGCATGGCCTGCATGATGCTGGAAGTGACGGTGGCCTGTTGTTCCTTAAGGGCCACACTTACTTCACCCTTAACAATGCGTTGTACTTGTGCTAAAATTGACTCCTGCAAGCTGCAAAGGGAAGTGACCCAGTGAAGTGGACTGGAAGCCCATTTTGGGCTTCCTAAACTACCACCTCACCCAGAGCCCTGCCCACAGACCTGCCCACAGCCACATGGAGCTGGTGCTGCACCTCAGCCCGAACACTGCTGGACACAGTGGCCGCCATCTGCTCAGTGGCACTCTGCAATGTGCTCACCAGGCCCCGGAGTTGGGCCAGCACAGGCTCCCTAGCTTCCTGTTCACGTGCCTTTCGGCTCTTCATGTGACTCTCTAGCTGCTGCAGATCTGAAGGGCGACACCAGGGATCAGCAAAGGGATGACAGCAGAGCACAACCGTTCTTACTACTTTGGGATTTGTGACGCCACTCACATTCCTGTGTGCCCAGTCTAAAGCTGTCATTGATTTGCTGGAACATGGCCTGGCAACTCTTCTCAAAAGCTGGCAGTACCACGCTCTGGAAGGCTTCCCGGTAGGCAGCCTGCATTGGTCCCTGTAATGTGTCTGCAGCTGCTCGGGCAATGGCATCTGTCAAGTTCTAGAATATAAGGAGGGGGTCAAGTTCTAGAATATAAGGAGGGGTCAAGTTCTAGAATATAAGGAGGGGTCAAGTTGTTAAGTCTAGTTTGGCCTCATTTCCCATCTTGGACCCTGCATCACCTTGGACTTGAGTAGCTTAGAGATATTCTCTTTCATGCTGCCTTCCACTGCTGTGAGTTTGGTAGCCACGGAGTTGCTTAGCTGACCTGCCACAGGCTCCAGACTTCTGGAGACACCTAAGAAAGACGGATGAAACCAAAAGAAGTTAAAAAGCTTCCTATACCCACATGGCTCACCCAAAAGAAATCTCATGAGAAACTCACACGGAGGAACTGTCTTCTTGATTTCGTCCCTTATACTGCGCTCCAGCCGCCCAGCCACAGCTGAAGACAAGGCCTGGGACAGTTGCTGTGTCAGCTGCTCCTGCAGCTGCCCACCCCGTTGCTGCCCCTCAGCCAGGGCCCGCTCCAGCCGCCGCTCTGTGGTGGAGCTAAGGAACAGGCCTGCAGCAGGACCTATACATTTCCTTAGACAAGAACACTGCCGTGCCCTACTGCCCTGCTGTGTCACTACCCCCAAGGATACGCTCTTGCTCATGCCGGGTCTCCAGGGCACGTTCTACATGGTCAGTGACAGTGTTCTGTAGACCTTCAAGTTGGGCACAGAGACGCTGTAGCAGTTCTTCTTGGTTGTGCCATAGCTCTGTCAGCTCTCTTTGTTGTTGCCAAATTAATGCTGTCCAGTCCTCAGGGGGCTCTGCCACCTGCCAGAAGCACTGACAGCTTATAATGTCTGTCCTTCCTATCTCCACCCACCATAAAAAGGAATAACTTAAAGTCCCTCCCATCCTTGTGGGATGGGGTCCCAAGAGTAGAAAGGTGCTCCCTTACATACCTGGTGCTCTGTGAGCCGGGATCCCACAGTTGAATCCCTACATAGGCAAGGAGCATTGAAGGTCACATCAGACAGCTTGGTGACCCTCCCTGGCCCCAATCACAGAAACCTCCTACCCATCATCCTTCTTGCTTTTCCTCTTGAGCTTGGGTGAAGTCCGAGGGGATCCTTTGGTCTTCCAATCCTTGGCGGGCAGCCGTGGAGTAGGAATTTTGCTGCCAAAACCCCCTGAGGCAGAAGCAAGGCTGGCAACCTCGTCATCATGGTCACTGTGGAAGGGGAAGAGGGCTAAGTGCCTGCTCACAGGCTGGCCCTCCTGTAGGAGAGGAAAAACAGAGCAAGTGGTGCCCACCTTTGCTCAGCACTGGTGTCCTGGCTGTCATGTTGCTGCAGTAGGTGATAAGGTGGCCGGTGGAAGGCCAGGCTTTTGTGCTTTTCCTGGAGGCCATTCCTGGGGCTAAGGAGACACAAATTTAGTAGATGATAATCCTAATGCCCCTCCTATAAGCATACTTTGCCCCTCTAAGCGCCTCACCTTTCTGCCAAGGTACTACAAGTCTCACGAGTAATGTCAGGTGCTGTAGGCCAGACTTGACTGTCAGGGGTTGCAACCTCCTGGGTCAAGGCTGCTTCCAGTAGGGAGGGGGTACTATGCCGATCCCCATCCCCAGAGCCTCCATCTAGGCCAAGTTGAGAGCCAAGCTCAGGGCCTTGCCTGGGCCGAGGAGACAGTAAGTGTAGGGCTGAAGCTGCGGAAGCCATACTGTCTGGCTCAATGAGGCCTTCAGGCACAGAGGAGCCAAAGCCACGGGACAGGGCCTCAGATGCAATTTCAGGGATGTCCTGGGACAGGGCAGTGGAAGCTGAGGAGATCACATCAGGGGAACGGGTGCGACTGGGAGAGGCTTGGGGTAGCCCCAGTGGCTCCACTTCCTGCAAATCCAAGGACAGTGCAGAGGCAGCAGTAGACACCTGACAAGGGCCAAAGATGGAGGCTTAAATACTGAGTAAGGGGCACAGAGACACAGTACTGGTACTGTAGTGATGAGACAGTGTAACAGGGAAGAGAGATCCAAGTAAAAAGCAGGGCCACAGTTCACAAGAGGGGGATGGGAGGCTGAGGAGATACCCTCCAAGGAAGGTATTTCCTTTGGGGAAATATGAAGCCCTCAAGGCTAAGCACGGTCAACAGAAAAAGTACATTGGAATACAGCACCCCAATATTCCCCATTGCTCTCCACCTGCTACCCAGTACTTTAACACTTTACAGATTCTCTTTCTGTTTCTCACACACACACCTGTCCAGGTCCCTTGGGGGTCAATTTGTCAGCTGGGCCTGGGAGCAGGCCAGGAAGGAGGCTTCGAGGGCTTGCCTGCAGGCTGCTGGTACTGTTTATTGTCAGACTGCCATCCAGCTGCAGCTTGGGACTCAAGGTCAGCTCCTCGGATGGCCTACTGGCAGAAAGGGGAGGCATTAGCTACTATGATTCATCACATGTGGCACCAGGCTCTGCTATCACCCAGACTCTGCCTTACCTGGGCAAGGAAGGGTCCATGGCTGAGGAGCTACTCACAGCAGACACAGCTGTTAGGGAGCTGCTGCTGCTGCTACTGCTGCTGCTGCTACTGCTGCTGCTGCTGCTGCTAGGGGACGCAGAGATCT